TTATGTGGTGTTTTTATATATTTTATAAAAATAATAATAATTTTTTTTTTTTATGAAATGAAACTATTTAACCAAAAATAGAACAATGCATAGGGAAAAAAGAGAAAATCTCCACTATCTAAATATTTGAGCCAAAAAAATCTATATTTTGAAAGAGAGATGGAGTAGTTGTTTGGTATGGTATGAGGTAACAGCCAACAGGACAAGTGGAATGTAAAAATCAAAGACTTGACTAGATCACCTCATTCCCCGCTTGTCTTGGCAGTGAGATTCAACTGGCTGTGCAGGGGCTAAAATGTCTTTGACTTGTATGCATTCTTGGCTTCTTCACATGCAACAGAATTGTGGGAACCTCCATTTATGTGCAACAGGATTTGATGAAGGTGCATGCAATGTATCTCCATAGAGAGTGTATACAATTTCTATCTCTTACTCAATAATGTACAACAGAAAAAACAGATACCCAAAAATCAATTTGCTTAATACATTTAACTGATGCTTAGAGAACAAATCAGCAGCAATATGAATAATCAAGCTAGCTAGTGATGATGTAGGTCAAATTCAAAATAGGACCTGACTTCACCCAAATACCATTGGTCCTCCACAATCTGAACACCGGCTCTGAAGAAGAAGACGACAAGGAAAAAGCAGGATTTCATATTCCCTGACTTTGACCTTGGAGCAGGGATGACGAGTGGTTGGGAGAATGCAAATGAAAAGAGAATAGGGATTTTATATTGGCAAAAGGTGCAGATTACCCCCTCAACTCAACAACTGGTGGCAAATCACCCCCTCAACCCACTTCATGCGCAAATCACCCCCTCAACTCACCTGCAGTGGCAAATCACCCCCTCTGTTAACACTGGCACCATCTTCCGTTAGCTTTTAACAGTTCATTCACCCCTTTGTTAAATCAGAAATTCCATCTACAGACAAGATCATCTCACTTGCCAAGTGTCATTTTATAAGTGGATTGTAATATAGTATCTAATACCATGTCAGCACCATATCCGATTAGTTTCTTCTTCCTCGTTTCTTTGAGAGCTAATAAGCAGAGAACCATGCAATGGAAGCCCTCAATGCAACAAGCTTGACA